GTCCGATTACCCATGCATCTTTAAACACTTATCCTTCTATTTATTCATCTAATCATTTATCCATTATCTCATTTATTTGCTAATTCATTCACTTCCTCAATTAACCATTAATTCATCTATCTATTGATGGTTTTCAACCATTCCCATGAGAGTGAGCAAAACAAAAAGGTCCACCAGTCACGGTGGTGGTTTTCTTTTGTCAGGTCCACCAGCAATGGCGGACATCTTTTGTTTAACTTTCTCTCCTGGGAATGGTTGAAAACCATCAATTCAATAAATGTCTTTGGACTTGCACACTATTATCACTAGTATTTGCATCACATTATGTAAAAGATTCCCTTTCACTCTCACCTGCTTCAAGAGATCCAGACCAACGATCAACCAGTGTCATTACAATAACTTCAAACATCTCTTCATCTCGAAGGGGGCGATGACTCATAACAATGGCATTGTTAAATTCCACCAATGGGTTTATTCGCACTGCWGCACGGCAGTCTTGACTAATAGCAACCTGATCTCCATGTCGTCCACTCAGTGTGAACCAATTCTCATTTGATGAGGGGGGTGGGGTGGGAGTTGTTTCTTGTGTGGGTGGTACAGAGGTCCGTTCATGTGTAGAATCTATACATGTAAATAGAAAAAACGCATTAATACTTTCCAATAAATGTCTTGATGAAGTGTTCTATGATCAAGTGTTTTATGTATAGTTTACAACATGAGCGGCCGTGTTGTATGGGAATTACAATCTCGAGCCGCAGGCGAGAGATTGTAATTCCCATACAACACGGACGCGAATGTTGTAAACGACTTATAAAACTCCAACACAAATTAACATGAATTACAGTGAGATAAATGACGAAAAATGACAAATAAGGTAACTGCTGAGTTTAGTCCCTATTAAGCATGCGCAATTTACTGCAACACAGAACATTTTGAATAATTATCCATCCCACATGGAAAGCAAGCCATCTGTTGCATAAGCGAGTTCTGTTATCCGTCTTTGATTGCTTCAAAACCTAGTGAAGGTCTATGATGCGACACTAAAACTGAGACCTTTGCTAGTGTTGGGTTGTCTCAATGGTGACGACCGTGTTGTAAATCTGATACAACCACTAGTGGTTGTATCAGATTTACAAGGTCAATCACCTGATTAAATGGTCAGCCTGAAATAGCTGTATTTCATGATGTATCAGTTTATGTTTAAAAATGTCAAAACACCTTTAAAATATTTGTTGAAATCATTATTATATTAAAGTATCTCAAACCTTTAATTCATCTAAGTTCTTCCCATAGTCCTCGATCTCMGTYGAACCATTTTTCACCATCCCTCCCCCTGACATAATCCATGTACCGCTGCGCACATTGGTCATAGTAGATGGGAGCTCCAAAGCCTCTGGATGATGTGTTGTCAAGCCTATCTCTAATGACCCCGCCCACTTATCAACTTGCCGATCGACATATACTTCAAATAGTTCTCCAGGTTTTATTGGTCTGTTTGTAAGGACTACAGCATGATTAAACTCTTCTAAAGCTCTGTAGATAACGAAATAATACGTCACAAATATAATACCATAACGAAGCAGGGATTTCATTGGAAGCTGGCAACCAGCAACATTCCAGTGTCAATTTTGACCTTTGAGTTGCCTACTTTTTGCATACATGGCGGGTTTCTTTTGTTTTCTCCAGAAAGTAATCCCACAATGTATTGCAAATCTAGTAAAAGTTTCAGAAGTCTTTTCAGGTGTGTTTCATGTAATGATTYATTACCTTGGTCTGAGAGCTGTAAGGAAATTGTTTGTTAATTTGACAGCCATCCCACATCTTGGATGAAAACATAATGGAATAGAACTAGAGGAATCATCTGACATAAGATGCAAATTATATATATTAATCTTCAATTATTAGTAATAATTACATTAAAGAGTAATGACCATGCTTTAAGTAATATATACAATATGAGCGGGCGATCTGTATGAGGATTTAAAACAGTGAGCTGAAAGCGAGCTGTTTTAAACCTCATACAGATCGCACGTGAATATTGTATATTACTTATGAAACGTTAAGGTAAATTAGCTCAGGTTTTAAAGAAACTTTTGAAAAAAAATTCAATCTGACTGAGAAAATCAGAGTAAAAGTTTATGCAAATGAACAAGAAATCTGTATGTAATATACAACTCTCTTCATGGGCTATGATTTCTATTGTGTTGTGCCTTATGAATATTAATGAGTTTTATAATAATGATGAAACTGATGTATGCTTACTATTTGTATTATCCATACACATTGCCTCTTGGTTATTATCCTCGGCAGTCTCTTGAATGGCTTCTCCAGTGATTGACGCTTGAATAGCAGCACCATAGAGATCTACAATACCATATATCTGYGACGGCATATCCCTCATAGCCACGCCCATATCAATACCATTTAAATAAAAGTGTAAGCAACCATTAGATCGTCTCATGATCCCAACATTATCACCAACCTACAGAACATGAACTTGGTTGGTTATATACTATAAACTGTCTTGTCATGCATCATTTAATTCATTAATTAAAATTATCGTCAGCCAATCTTCAAACAGTCATTTCATTTGAAATAGTAAACTACAAACTAATGTCGCAGCCTCATTTTCATTGTTTTCTTGTGTGTGCATGTGAGCTGAAGTATTGTGCAATAATAGTTTGTGTTTCAAGGGTTAAAATAACATTTAAAAAAAAAACACCATCATGTGACAATACTTCTATTCTATTCTAAGCATAATTTACTTTAATTGATTCTAAGCTGATGTCGCTATAATCTTTCATAATCTCTTTGCCATTCATAATGATTGATGTCGCACTCCATATCCACGTCCCAGTTGGCATCATGGTCATTGTTGGCGGYAGTACGATATCGGTTGGGTTGTGTGACGTTACACCCAMTTCTAAGGAACCAGCCCATATGTCAGTGACTTTTTCAACCTTTATCTGCAAAATTGAAATAAATCTTATATAGCGGCAATGTTAATTGATAGTGATGAATATTGATGATCACTGGTTTATGTCAAGTGTTTATAAAGGGATCAGTGATAATGATGAGCAATGTAATKATCTCTAGCACTTCCCCAAGCCTTGTAATTTCAATATCACAACATGCAATAAGCTATTGCATAACATGCAACTCCTAATGAGGGAATGACAGCATCAACTACCAGAATGCTTTGCACACTTATTTTTGTAATATAAATAGTCCCTAATGTTTTTTGATAACCTCCAAAAGAAATGATCAAAATAATCAAAACGGCAATATACAAAACATACTGTTACTGTAGTTGTAGTAAGATGACTCCAGATGATCAATTCACACATCTAAGACACTCCATGCACTTACCTCAAACAATTTATCATTTTCTAAAGGAAGATTTGTTAATACTACAGAGTTTTTAAACTCCTCGTCAGGRCTCTGTCGTTCAGCTGTTCTGTAATTGTTAGACAGTTTAACAAGAGAGCCGCAATGAGGATGAAACACAATCGAAGCTGTTGAAGGTTGTGAATTCACTACAGATAAAACAAGAAATTATAATTTAGAACAACACATTTAAAAAATGCTCTTATCAGACTACTTTTACAAAGAATATTGTGTGCAAATTGTTACTAGTTTGAAGTCTTAACATCAGTTTAAAGAGACACTAAATCTTATCTTTCAACCTGTATCTATTGACAGACCCAAATATGGAACACTAATTAGCGAATTCAGCAAATGCCTCATTGAACACGATCTTTGTCAGCATCTTTTATGGAATCGAGATAATTCAAAAGGCAAGAAACATTCCTTAGTAATTTGYCTTAAATCAACAACTATTACTGAGAACAYTTCTTGTATTGATAAGTGCACAGGGAAATTTTTGATTTGCACTATTGTCAAGGTACCGAGTAAGAAATGGTTTCTAGAAAATTCAACTACATAAGCTTAACAGCTGTTTTCAACGCTTAAATAAGAACAATCAAGCTTAGATTATTTGTTTTTGCAGTTGGTTTTAAACATACTGTAATTGTCTATGTATAAAAATATTCTTCGTAAACACATGTTGCTAGGTGTCATAAAAAAGTCGGAGAGTCTACTAGACAAGAAAACTAGAGCAGACAAAATTCGTCTGCAAATATTTGCAATAATTTCCTTACCATTTGACAAATTGAACTCCTTATAACTAGAAACTTCAACACACTTTCCATACAAATCTACAACAGCGTATAGAGGCGAAGGTACATTTGTACAAGCAACGCCAAAGTCATTGCCATTGACGAAAAAATGTAAACATCCGTTGTCTCTTCGACAAACACCGACTACATCTCCTTCGTTAAGYTCGTCYAAGTCTCTCCCGTAATTATCTAAAATAGTCACTCCATCTTTAATCACAGATACGCCTGACATCATCCAGTATCCATTTTTGAGTCCAGAAGCGCTAGAAGGAATGTCAATATTATTTGGATTTGCTGTGGTCACTCCAATTGCCATTGAACCTGACCAGCTATTAATGATTCTGTCAACTCGAATTTCAAACATTTCATTTTCATTCAAGGGGAGTTTACTGAAGACAAGTCCATGGTTGAATTCTGCACCTGGGTTTCTTCGTCTAGCGGTCTTGTTGCTGTTTGACAAGAACACAAGACGACCATGTCGGCCGTGAAACTCGGCCGCCATGTTTTCTTGCTTGTTGTATTGTGACACCGCTGACCGGTCGCATCATTCGAAACGAAAAGTCACGTGATTAATCTCATTTCTAGAGATGACATACGCCCTTCGTCAGAGTCCATATCCAAAACTTGTAGAAAAATAAACTGTCAGCATGCTTTATAAATGTAACTATAAACATAATATATGCCATWAGAAAGCATGCCCTCTGATTGGTCGGAGTGTGGTCCAATATTTCATGACATACAGTTTTCAGAAATGCGCCTTGCCGAAAAAGAAAGGAAACAATGAAAAAAAAAGAAAAAAAAAGTTATTTACTTATTATTATTCCTTATATTGGAAAAGCGTGCCAAGTATTGATGTACAATGAGTAATGAATCCTTCAATATTCAGCAAATAACAGGGTAAAGTCCATCCAAAATCTTTGCAATGGTATAACTTTGTCCAGTTGATAACTGACATAACTTATTCATTGCTTCTGACAACTGGCCCTAGTTGAATAAGTTAATGCAATAAAATGAAAAGGTGGGAAGAAAAGAAAGGATGGAAAATGAGAATAATGAAAAATCAAAAGAAAAAACAACTATAAGAGACAAGATGGAGTACAAGTTTCTTTGATAATTTATTATTTTCCACAAACACATTTGTACTTGACTGAAAGCCATCTCTACTGTTGACTAGTTAGCAAGCAATCAAAACAAATTTGTATCATGTATAGCTCTTTCCATGTTCAATGTTCATAGTTGTTGTTTTTCAAATCACAATTCCATGTGACCAAACTCAACCACTCATCCATCCATTAGAACTGGCAGACAAGCTTTCCTGACCCACTGAACTAAGGGTGTGATCATCCAGACTTAAAAAACTAACAAAAAAAATGTTTCTGTTGCTTTAAAAGACTTTTCACTTCATTAACCATGAGCAAAATACAACTTTTGTAACAAAGGGCAACTTTGATGTGGTAAAAATCTAAGTTATTCAAGCCCTTCTCTGGGAGCATGTTTATTGGATGGACGGTGTTGGTGGCGAATCCTTCTTTCATGGGCATGCTCAGCTGGCCTGTCACGCGGGCGACCACGCCTGTGGTCACTCAAATCTGAAAAAGAAATGACAGGGGTTTGTATATGTAGACRAAGATGAAATGTCATACGGCATATTGACAAATTTTTAGTTTTCAAAATAGTCTCCTTCACGGATACCTGCGCCATCTTGAAAGGTAGCCGTGCCTTTGCATCAAAGCGAGACGACCGTTGAGCATGCAATGATAGAAACCTTCTTTCACACCTATAGACAATTATTCATAGGTATCTATCATTGCACGCTCAACGGTCGTCTCGCTTCGATGCAAAGGCACGGCTACCTTTCAAGATGGCGCAGGTAACCGTGAAGGAGACTATTTTAGTAACCAAACAAATAATGATCAAATCATCAGCCTGTCAATCATTCAATCACTGTTGTCAATCATTCAATAACTGCTGTCAATCATTTCAATCACTGCTGTCAATCATTTCAATCACTGCTGTCAATCATTCAATCAATCAAAGATCAATCATCAGCCTTTCATTAATGAGCCACCACTGACCTTCTAATGCTCTTTGCCGATTTCTGCGTCTCTCGTGCAAGGAATGTGGGTC